GATGATAGTGATAATCATTATTATTGTAATATATCAAAGATGATGATAATCATGTTGAAATAATAACCACGATGATGATGATGATAACATTTACTAATAATAATGATGAGATTAACAATTACTAATATAACAACAAGAACAATCCTCTACTACTACTAATAGTGATATTAATAAGGTTAATAATGATAAGGAAAATTATACTGCTAATAATGATAACTTCAACCCCGCAGTCACATGGATAATGATTACTGGTATTGATTTGGAGGCGCAGTGTGCGAACGAACGAATGGACGAAACTTAAGGCATCTTTTCCGGTGGCAATTAGGGTGTCTCGCGACGCGACGCGACATCAAAAGCTGTCTCGTGATCGGAGGCGAGACAAGCTTCTAAGCTCCGCCCATTTCTGTGACGTAATGGGAATGGCCGCGGCTGACGGCTTGCTATTTTACTGTACTGGTTATTTTTCCGACAGGTACACAGTATTTTGTTATAGATATCCAATATAAGTACGAATATGCATGAAATATCCGAAGTAGGAGGAATGCATCTGGTAACTCGATTAAAGTTAACCGTCTGCTCGATTCCTGTCGTGCAAGAGGTGTCGCGTTTAACGTAACCACTGGAAAAGATGCCTATAGAGTGAAAATATATGTTACTAAAATAATTATTTTATTTTTTAAAATGATGACAAAAATAATGAGGTTGTTAGTAATAATCTTAATCGTTGTTATTTTTATGATGATTTCAATGATAATATCATTATTGACAATATATATATATATATATATATATATATATATATATATATATATATATATATATATATATAATCTTATAAAGAAGCCTGCTGTTAAAATTCAAGAAATATTATCAGCAACATCAATGATGTTGGCGCTATTGATAGTGGTGGAGGTATTGATGGATGATGATATGATGATGATGATGATGATGATGATGATGATGATGATGATGATGATGATGATGATGATGATGATGATGATGATGATGATGATGATGATGATGGGGAGAGATAAAATAATTCAGTGAAGATCGTTAGAAAAGTGTAACAATCAGTAATACACATCCTGAAAAAAGGGAGTGAAGGAAACAACGAAGTTACGTATAAGACGGATTCATGATTCGGGATTCATGATTTCATCACTTTTGAACAATGTGAAAATATTGTATAATAATCAAAATATGATAAGCCATACCGCTGAGGTTCATAGGACACTTTTCCAAACTTGAATAGTACGGTTAACTGCTGCACTTGAAGGCACTGAGGTATTAAGCACAAGACAGACAGATTTGAATTCGGCATAAGGGAAGCGAAACGTCTCCACTTTGCTTTACAACCTTGATAGCAAATAAATGTAAACTTGCTCAGTATTCAGATTTTCTGATGCCTTTCGTGATGTTTCAGTTTCGTAGGTTAACTGTCAGACAAATGTATTACGAGCATCACACACACACACACACACACACACACACACACACACACACACACACACACACACACACACACACACACACACACACACACACACACACACACACACACAGGTTTAAATGCGGAAGTGAGAAAAGGGAGAGAGGAAAATGTGAAAATCCTTTAAGGCCTAATTTTCAGAAATGAGAAAGGCGAAAGATGGCAGGAATGCTGAAAAAAAGAAAATGAATAATGGCTATAATAATAATAGCCAAGACATACTTTAGAATTCACCCAAGAAGGCTATGGATCTTCCGAGCTCCAGGGAACAGATACACAAAACCAAACAGAATATGTAACAATGAACGAGAGACTTAGAGATTCAATCACACAAACAAGACTTATCTAAGCGCAGAATGTAAGAGTGATACCATCTCCAATTCGACTGAATAATTATAATAAAGAAAACGAAAAATGTAAGAAAGAGAATCCCAAAACTAACGAAATAGCAGAAGAGCAATACGATTTTATGAATGGTAACGCTATAAGAAATGCTGTATCTGCAATTCTGAAAAAAAAAACATTGATAGAAAAAATAAGATCTTTCATTATTCTACACTGAAACCAAGTAGGAGCTGCCGGGGGGGGATGGTTTAAAATAAAATGTTAAGCAAGGGTGTCTCATGCCCCGGGTTTGTTCTCCCTGTATGGAGAAATAATTCAAAGGAAAGTGCAAGATGTGGAAAGAATCAGAGTAGGAGGAATAAATCTAAATAAGGTTTGCAAACCCTTATTTTGTTGATTCTTCCGAGTCATTTTTAATATTCTTTTAGATATAACCAATAAACATAGACTAACAACGATTTCAATATCACCTATTAAACGCTATATTAATAGACCCTACAATAAACCACTTTCACTCCACACTGAGAAAAGCAATTCCCGTTTCAATATTGCATTAACTCTTAACGTTAGAAGATTCCCGAAATTGTAGAGGCTGAAATAGAACCCATTAAAGCTTGTGAGAAACTTGGAATGGGATGTGAAATTAGAATCAGGAGAATAGTAAAA